ATTTTTTTTAATTTTAATAGTAGCATATTAACAACAGAAAGCATTTTTCGTATAAGAATAATAATATTGTTATCCATTAAGTAAACCCTAAATCTGTTAATACGCTTTTTTAAAAATAAACAATGTTAATCATTTTAAACATGACATACAAAGACTCATAATGTTTTCATTGAATAAATAATCATAATAAAATAAACATAATAGATTTTTATACTGAAAAAAATCTCGGAATTAGTAACTAACTTATTTGTTTCCTAAAATAAAGGACACATGGATATATACTCTAGAATAAAAACTTCTAATGGATTCATTCAATAACCATAGCTACATCATAATGAACATAAAAAAGGATAAATGTAAATAAAATTGATGTTTTTTAAGGTTTAATGCGTGCTTTTTTTACGCATGTAATGGACAAATATGATTGCGTTTGCGATGTAAAGTAAACTACTCTTTTCTAAAAGTCAATGTCTTAGTTGTTTAAGAAACCTGTTTGGTATTACACAACAGTTTCCAGTATGTATTCTTTTATCCGATATAAGAAAAAGCTAGAAACGAATATTTTATCTTGAAAATTGGCTAAGAGTTTACTAATTTTGTTATTAAAACATATAACTTCACTATTGACTAGATTTAAAAATGGAAATTTTAAGGTTCTGACGGGATACTGTAATTCATGGATTTGACCAAGTATTGATGAAGATTTATCTGCATCATAAATTGACTGAAGTGGGAAATATGAGAAATTTTCAATTTTCCAACTGATATTTCATTATTTAGGAGATTGAAATATTTTGGATACTATTCTATTTGTTCTCAATCAACATTAAGAAATACTAAATTCTAACAAAATATTTGTTTACATTTAGCTTGTCTTTCAAGTGTTTATCAGTTTCGATTGCGACAAGTCTCTTCAAATTACCTAATATAACAAGGTATTTATTGTTTTAATGTATTAAATCTCATCATCATTCATAAAATTCATTTCCTTGAATTCTCAGTTGACAAACTATCATTATTTAAAAGCAGTGATGACTGGAGATTAGTAATGAAACCAAGAACGCACATTTCATCCCATTTAAGACTTGTCAGCTAGATGTACCTGCATCTTAGAGTTGATGTACATTCCGAAGCTCGAACCCAGTACTATACGCTTCAAATTTTCATTGCGTTATCCACGGGATGTATATATAACTGATCAATTGGAATCTTAATTGTCAATGAGAAGATTCAAACAACCAATACAATAAAAAGAAATATATATATCAGTGTTTAATAACAAAATGGTTAACTTTGAAAACATTTATGAATAGGTTATATTTAAAAAACAAAAAGCAGGTCATATCTTATAAGAAAACTTTTCAATAACTATCAGAATAATGTATCTATTAAATACTGAAAATAATATAACCTATAATTTATAATAATGTTTTTATAGGAAAAAATATTTACCCCAACCATGTAATTTATTAAAATGTAAACAGCATGATTGAAATATTGTTATAACGTTTCTCTCTATTTTCACGCATACACATAAAACGTAATATAAATATAAGAATAATTGTGAAATTTTATGAAAATTACACTGCCTATATATATATCTTGATTATTTATTTATTTTTCTATATTGATGGGTTACTAATTTGCAAATAATACGGAAAATTGTCATATTCCGTGTGAAAATTTTCTGGTCAAATGAAAACGAGGGTTATTTTAATTTGTTTGTTTGTCTTTCAACAGGACACATTAAAAGGCAATTATTATAATCGTTTTTTGTTTACAAATAGTTCAAATAGTCTGTCCAGTTATTGTCATCTAATACTTGTTATGTGTTAAGCTTGAATAAATAGAGTAATCTGACATGGGTCATTTTGTCTGAATACTAGAGATGAAAAAATAAAATAAGGATAGAAGAAAAATCAGCTCTGATTTAAGTGTGAATTTACTTAAATAATGTTGAATGAATTTTATTTTGGGGGAGGGGAATTTCATTCCGTTTTATTCGATTTAAATACATTTGAATCTCATGAGGCGGGATCATGGAGGCGCACTACTGAGGAGTCCCATACTAGAACGAAATGGCCGTCCAGTTCTTCCAGGTTTTCAATGGTGGTCTAGCTTCAATCTACTCATGATATTAAATATTGAAATTACATTTAAATCAGTTATGTTATTATATGATCCACATGTTAATAAGACTTGAAAAACTAATGGATATATTTTTTCCCCTTAACAAAGTAATGAAGGTATTTTTATTCATTGATGTTGATGAATAATTGTGTGAAAATGAAGGATATCGAATTATTTTTAGCAATGAGTTAAATGAATTAAAACAAAATAACTAACAAAGTATAATTTAAAACAAATGATGAACAGAATATAAATCTAAATGTTATAGAATATTAAAAAAGATCACATTATTAATACTAGTGTAATTATAATAAATGCATAGATAGCTACATACACATACAACATTTATTTAAGCTTATTGTACTATACAGTATATGTTATACATACAAACAAATAAGGATTTCCTATTTTAGTAATAAATTATGTCACGCAATACTTGATCAACCAAGAGAAAACAATATACAGCTGTTATTATTCTTATCTTAGAAAAAAACATTCCCATAGGAACAAACTAAATATTTGATCTTGATTTTTATTGGTTAAACAGTACACCAATCGATACCCTTTTTGTGAAAAGAGATATTTTACATCAATAATCTTAATGAATTGATTAATTAATACCTTCTGAAAGGGATCCAGTGCAGGAAGGCATTCAGTTTTTGTTTAAATATGAATAATACTCTCTAAGCGGTTCAGTACTACGTTAATAGTTTTTCTTCACTAAGATCATGTTAAGAAGAGATAGGCAATGATATTTGACCTAAACATAAGTTTCTCTCAAAAGATAATGTTGGTTGGGTTGATTAATAACTAGTTTGTTAAAAATCATATAAAATTCTATTTGTTTCAAGATTTGGATTTCAAACCTGATTTATCCTAGTTTATATTATTATCAGATGGGTTTTTGTGGAGATTGTAGTAATTTCAATGGTTAAGATCATGAGTCAGTTGAAGCTAGACCACCATGGAAAACCTGGAAGCACTGGACGGCCGTTTCGTCCTATTGTGGGATTAGTTGAAGTTAGACATTAACACCGTCGGATGCCGGCTCAGTGGCCTAGTGGTTCAGTGCTCGGGCGCGAAACCAGTAGGTCCTCGGTTCGAATCTCACGGGGGGCGAGGTCGTGGTTGCGCACTGCTGAGAGTCCCACAATAGGACGGAACGGCCGTCCAGTTCTTCCGGTTTTCCATGGTGGTCTAGCTTCAACTGACTCATGATCTTAACCATTGAAATTATATTAATATGTTGTATAATATTTCATATATCTGTACATTGAAACGTTACGAAATAAAATTATTCAGAAATGTGTTGTTGCTAGTTTTTATGCATTAGCAAGCTAGATCTATAACATTCTATTTAACAAAGATTATTCCCAGACGAATTTCATCTTATCACCTTACAGTATATTGCGTATTCCATTGTGTTTAAAATAAATATATAAATCATAGTTGTTAATCTATAATGTTTAGTTCCCTACTCAGTAAGGTTGTACAGATAACTGATATAAATGATCTCTCCGTTACAAGGATAAAGTCAGGGGATTTCACCATTTACATGCTTAATTTTGTTTTATAAATATATGTAAGCTAAAAAATTTGTTAGACTACATTCATGATAAAAATTCAAAAGACACATTTATTGTTATCTAATAAGAGAATTATTATAGCTTCAAGTCATCCAAGTTTCTGCGATTCAGAGTTCAGCTCTTAATCTACTATCAACAAATCAAGTGTATTATTATTCTGACTTGCTTTCTCATCTAAACAATACTCTGTAATATTTGTAGTTGTTGGAATTAAAAAGTTCGATAAACTGTTGATTAGAGTAGACATAGTGGTCTGCAGAAAAAAATAAAGTTGACTATTTGTTTAAAGCAACTCTACCAATTACTCAAATTAATTAACAGTTTTTCAGAAATGAATTTACAAAAGATACTAATGTTTAATTAATAGACTATAACATAATCATATAACTAGAAAGGGGTTTTGTGGATATCGTATTAATTTTAATAGTTGAATTCATGAGTCAATTGATGCTAGACCACAATGGAAAACCTGAAATTAATTGACGGCCGTTTCGTTCTAGTATGGGACTCCCTAGAAATGTGCATCCACGATCCCATCTCGCGAGATTCGTACCCAGGACATATCAGTCTCGTGCGCGAATGTCTAACCACTAGACCACTGAGCTGGCCGTCATTCAACGGTGTTAATATCTAATTTCAACCAATCCACCAAATTGAGCGACACATCCACCGTTGTCATCAGTGGGTTATTATTCACAACTGACCCGGTTGAACTCCACTGGTTACAACTTCTCACTAAAACTGCAGGAAATACCTCTTGGAGACCGTCACTAGAGATCATATGATGATTATAAACAGAGGAATTTTGTGGATATTATAGTTATTTTAATAGTTGAATTCTTTAAAAGCTTGGAAGCACCGGACAGCTCATAATCGGACAAAATGGTTGTCTAGTGCTCCTAGGTTTTCCATGATGGTCTAGCTTCAACTGACTCAGGAATTCAACTATTAAAATGATTATATGAGTTTTACTTGAATTTAACTCAGTACTAACAAGATACTACATTTTCGTTTATTCTCATTATCAAATACTGAAGTTCAATTATACGTATTAATTCACAAGAGTTTTCTAATAGGAGAATGTATTAAAAATAAAAATAGATAAAATTAAAATTATACTATGCACACTCAATAAGTGACTAAGAAACAATAAAGAAAACATATTTTATTGAATGATTTTGCACACTTTGTAGAATCTGAAGTTACTTTTAATCATAAAATTTAGAAATTGATCTCCATATAATTACTTGTAATATTCTATTTCATTCTTTTTTTCTTATTTAGCTTTATCATTTGATCGATTAGTAACAGAGAATAGACTTGTTTCGCACTTGTATCATTGTCCGTTTGATTTGACTAGAATTGAAGGAGAAGCTTGTTTACAAGTAAGTAAAAGACTTAATGCATTATTAAATTATAATCCAAACGAAAAATGAGTTAAAACACTTTATTCAACTGTTTTATAAATTGTGCTTTTGTTTAATATAAACTCAATTATTGATACATATATCCACTACTGCAATCCAATCACAATTGACGGAGAAGATTTGGAAGATGTAAAAACCTTTACATATTTGGGCAGCATCATTGATGAACAAGGTGGATCTGATGCAGATGTGAAAGCGCGGATCAGAAAAGCAAGAGCAGCATATATACAACTGACGAACATCTGGAACTCAAAACAACTGTCAACCAACACCAAGGTCAGGATTTTCAATACAAATGTCAAGACAGTTCTACTGTATGGGGCAGACACTTAGAGAACTACAAAAGCCATCATCCAGAAGATACAGGTGTTTATTAACAGTTGTCTACGCAAAATCCCTCGGATCCGTTGGCCGGAAACTATTAGCAACAACCTACTGTGGGAGAGAACAAACCAGATCCCAGCGGAGGAAGAAATCAGGAAGAAGCGCTGGAAGTGGATAGGACACATTGAGGAAAGCACCCAACTGCGTCACAAGACAAGCCCTCACATGGAATCCTGAATGCCAAAGGAGTAAAGGAAGACAAAAGAACACATTACGCGGAAAATGGAGATAGACATGAGAAAAATGAACAAGAATTGGATGGAACTAAAAAAAAAGACCCAGGACAGAGTGGGCTGGAGAATGCTGGTCGACGGCCTATGCTCCATTGAGAGTAACAGGCGTAAGTAAGTAATATCCACTACTGATCAATTCACATAACCTTGACTAAAACAATTTGAACATAATACAAAAAAGACTTTTAGCATATATAATTCAAGAATCAAATATTTATTCCTATAAATTTCTAAACAGTAATAAATGGTTGAATATAGCTGACAGAAAATTCTAAACATGGGTTGGAGAATGCTGGTCGGCTGCCTATGCTCCAATGGGAGTAACAGGCGTAAGTAAGTAAATAAGTAATGTATATAGGCAAGTATTTCAAACAAATAGTACTAACACATAGTATTGTTTGTTAGAATTTTCAAATTGTTGTTTAGGCCTATAATCGATCAGCCTCTTATTGGTATATATCCATCTTATGCAGATTACATCGATATTGTCTTAAGTCACAAGCTAGTAGGGGAATCCATGTCGCGCGTTTTGTGTTAACAATTTTAACAAAAGGTTTTATCCATAAACACTAACAGTTCTTGTCAACCATGTTATTTTAATAATGAAAGCTGGAATCTAATCTAGTCAGTCTTTTAAGATTTACATATGAAACGATATTAATATTAAATCTCCATATAATAATACGAGAATATGATAAAACAATTTGAAATAAAGGAACATTTCATACTATTCTGGATTTGGATCCCAAAGTCTGACTTTGAAAGGAAGAATCTTCTAAACTTCTAATTGATTTATGTTCCGCAATCCAATATTTATACCATTATTCAAATTTTAATACAACTTTCTACGTTTTGTCATAGAAATTATAAATTCCGTATTCAAAAACTTTGTTCTACAGTAGTGGCATATAAATTCTAAATATTGAAAAACAGAAACTTGGCACATGAAATTTCCTTCAATATTAGTTAAGAACGCCATATATACATAACAGATAAGTTTGGATCATTCTAAATATTTTAATAAATGTTGTTTTTAAGCTATTCAAGTGTATTAAGATGAAGATATCAGATTTATTGTTCAAACAAATTCCAGCAGTACTTTGATGACTTGGCAATGTGGTAGCTATTCAAATTCACCTTCGAGGTAATAATTAGGAAAATTTATAAAGATACTATTTAAATGTACTAATCAAATAGTAACCTCTAATCTGAAATAGATACATTTTGAAAACAGTGTAAATTTCTTCAAATATGATCAAAAACTCATTTAAATTTAAAGTAAACAACAACAAATGTATAATCATAAACAAAACTAACGATGATTTACTATGAATAATTAGTGAAACATACTTTACTCTGATTTTATAGGCTTTAAATGGATTTATATTTATTATGTCCTGTGATGGTGAAGTATTTTCTGTATCAAGAACTGTGGAGCATTATTTAGGTTTTCATCAGGTAAGTAAGTGATTAAATTATCAATGAAATTACATTAAATATGAGCAATATAATAAAATACTTTTGTACCAGGTGAAACTAGTTTCTTTCATTGTGGGGTATCGTTACTTGAAATTCAGGAAAACTAGTTAACCGATTTGTCATAGATTAAGATTGACCAAAAGTGTTTTACCAAAAGTTTCACATTTGAGATAGCAATGTGAATTACAACCTCTTGTAATAAGTACAATTGAGTTAAATCACGCTTTTGAAACCCATTGATTTACATTTTTGACCGTAAACAATATATAAATCTTATCAGATCTCACCATTGAACAACCATTTCATTAACCAATTTCCTGAATTCATATATAATAGCTTCTCAATAACAGATGGAGAAATATATTTTGAAACAAGTTATCAGTGTACAAATACTAAGTTGATCTGTGGAGATTCTGTACAATTCAAAAATAATCGTTATCACACATATTAAGACATTTTTATATATTTAATTTTTAAATTCACTAGTTGATTATCTTCTAAAGCACAGATAGTTGATTACGTATATGATATTCTATGGTAACATCTGTGACTACAACAATAGATGTGGATTAGAATATATATGTGAGTACAAGTTTATTTAAGATTGCAACTGAACCTTGGAGATGAATATAATCTAGTACGAAATATTATTCTAAGAGTTCTTATCAATCTCAGTCGTCTGTCTGGAACGAAATAAATAGTGCCGAGATATCAAATCACTTTTTCTAATTAGAATATTACAAACTTGATTTATAGATGTAGTCAACTTTAAGGACTAGACGAATCGATATTGGTTGTTAAAAAATTATAAGCCGTTGATCTGTCTAAAACAACAGTTCTGTTTGTTTTTATTTCGCTAAGTATTCTGTCTTGAAATTAGTCTTTTTTTACTATTACGTAGAAAATGTTTTGGGTTACCATTTACCATATTAAAATGTGATTTGATGACTTAATGACTTCTAAATGTCGTTAAAGTAATTTATAACAATACAGTAAGTGGAATATAATGCTAAAAGCAATCTCTGATAATTAATATTCTAAGGAATTGCTGATATAAACGACTGAATTACTTATTTCTCATCAGTATATGGACTACCTGAATAAATGTTCAATACCGCAGGCACTTTCAAGCTGATTACATTTTGAAACATCTCCATACATTAAGATCAGAATAAGAATTCTATCCTATCCGAGACTTATTGTTTGGATGAGCATATACCCATATTAATACTGGAACAATACAAGGTCTTCAAAATTCAGTATAGACAGCATCTTCATTTAGCAATTGGTGGTTATCTGGACTTCACAACTTAGACAATAATTCCTTGATATTTGAATCTATGGGTACTTGGATGTAAAAATTCAACTAATTTGCAGCAGTACAAAACGTGCATCATGAATTTTATGATAAACCACTTCTTAAAACATAATCCAAGCGCTTACATATTTGTATCTCTCTGAGAATATTTTAAAATTACGAAGGACGGTAAAAAATAAAAAAAAATGAAATCATGTTTATGAAACACATTACGTTGCAGTTAAATTTGTCCTTAAACTGTGATAAACATGAATGAAAACAAAGTTGTACGATACAAGTTTTTGGTTGTAATAAGCCAATAACAAGAATATGTTCCATAGTTGAACTGCAAAAACACCTTTCGAAGCTAGTGTGATTACTCAGCAACGAGATTTCTTTATCATGAATGACTGATTAATTTAAACAGTTGAGATCATGAGTCAATTGAAACTAGACCACCATGGAAAACCTGGAAGCACTGGACGGCCGTTTCGTTCTATTGTGGGACTCCTCAGTAGTGCGCGTCTACGCTCCCGCCTAGCGGGATTCGAACCCAGGACCTAGCTTCAGTTGACTCATGATCTCAACTGTTTAAATTACTACATTCTCCACAAAACCACTTCGGAAACTAATCAACATATGCTCGCTAGTGACTGGCTTCAAGATATATATCCTGGAGTTCTAGGGAGAAGCAGTGACCAATGGAGTTCAACCGGGTCAGTTGTGAGGTAGTAACTCACTGATTACAATGGTGGATGTGTCGCTCAATTTGGTGGATTGGCTGAAGTTAGACATTAACACCGTTGGACGCCGGCTCAGTGGTCTAGTTGGTTAAGCGCCTGGCGCGAGACTGATATGTCCTGGGTTCGAATTTCGCGAGGCTGGGTCGTGGATGCGCACTGCTGAGGAGTCCCATAATAGGACGAAACGGCCGTCCAGTGCTTCCAGGTTCTCCATGGTGGTCTAGTATCAAGTGACTCGTGATCTCAACTGTTTAAATTACTACAATCTCCACAAAACCCCTTCTGAGACTGATTAATTCTTAATCATAACTTATGTCATATACTATTCTGGAAATCAGAACACGCTTCATTTATGACTGTTACTCACAAAAACAGTTTGAAATATCCATGGGAAATATCAAAGTAATTATGAAATTCCAGTTAAATAATAAACTTATTTAATTTTTTGGTTTCGTATTAGCATAATACGGCATTGTTGGACTTACTGAATATCATGTGTTGTATTTAGAGGCATGACATCGCCATATAAATAAACATAATAGTAGTATTATATTTCAAGTACAATAAAGATTGAGTAAACTCACCGCATTTCTATTTTCTATGACAAAAGAATAGAATTTTAATATCTGAATACAGGATAAAGGTTAACAGAAAGCAAAATTATACTAAATAAGCTCATGATTATAGTTTTATTGATCCTAAATAAATATATCTGTGACTTAGATTCATTAGGAAAAATATATGTAGGCCATCACCTGGTCAGGTGCAGAATCTTTTTCATACATATAATAGGCACCTGAAGATTATTTCACTTTAGATTGTCTTATATCTATATGATTCTCACAAAGGGAAAGACATTCATTTTAAGAACTTTCATCTAAAATATGGTATTGTTAGGTTAAGCAATTACTCTATAAATGAATATTACAGTGAAATAAGTTAGGTCAAGAGCTTATGACACACGGTAGTATATGAATACACATAGACACATTAACACACCGGAACAGCTGATTTACATAAAAGAAACAATGTCTGATTATTCATTTATATTCTCTTATAGTCACTTTATGAACTATTCAGTAATTCTATGGAACTTTATTGTAATCGATCGCAAAAGGGGAACAGTCATTTTAATTTATTATTACTGTCTAATGTATACAGTACAATAATAGAAATCGTATATTTATATAAAGCAAAGGTGTTATAAGTTTTCATTTTGAATAATAACTCTCTAGAGGTTATTAATAATCATTTGTTAACAACCAATGTGTTGGAAAACTCTCCCAAATCCACTTTTAGGACATTATGCTATGTTCTATGATTAAATTAAAAATTCTTTATTTTACTTCACTAGAAAAATACAGTAATTAAGTTTCACAATTGCTAGAATGGTTATTTCATCATACAATTTGCAAAATGCTACAATAATCTATTCCGTTTTACTTTATAGGCTGATATTTTGCATCAAAGTGTATTGGAGTTGATTCATTCAGAAGATAGAGAGGAATTTCGAAGACAACTATCATGGAAATCAATGCTTCCACCTGAGTTTCATTCATCTACATTACATGATTTGATGACTCCTGGTAAGTAATTAAAAATGACAAGTTTCTTGAGTTTAAAATACGAGACTATTTTTTAAGAAACCAATTTTTACAGCATCATTCAGGACGCTGGTTAGTGAATAAAATACGCCATTTAACTTTTAAAGTAATGGAAAGTTAAAGATTCATAAAGTTATCTATTATGAAATAATCATTTGGTCCACAAATTCTTTAAAAACTTTCTCTCTCTTTATTCTTAGAATTAACACTGTTATCAATGTTTAGAAAAGTTAAAAACCATTATAATAATCACCATTCATGTTTAGTGATCAATGTTTATTTGTACATGAAAAAATTGCTCATTATTAAATCGTGATAAATATTTATATTCAGAGAGGGATTTTGTGGACATGAGTTAATTGAAACTAGACCGCCATGAGAAACCCGGAAGCACTAAACGATTATTTCGTTCTAGTATGGGACTCCGTTGGATGCCGTCTCAGTGGTCTAGAGGTTAGTCGTTCGCGTGCAAGATTGACAGGTCCTGGATTCGAATCTTGAGAGACCGCATGGTGAATGCACACTGTTGAGGAATCCCTCAGTGAAACTAAACGGCCGTCCAGTGCTTGCAGGTTTTCCATGATCATCTAGACTTAATTGATTCATGAATTCAACTATCAAAATATTTATATGTTTATCATGGTTTCTTCTACTTTTCCTTAACCATTTGTGAATTGATGTCTCATTATTATGGTTCATATTAATAGATTTATATTACAAATCATTCTTAGAAAACTGTTGATTATTGAATGAAATAAATCAATTTATTGAGAATGAATTGACATATTTTTTGAACCATTATTCTTTTGAACAAATAATAAAGAAGAAGAAAAAGAAGATAATACCCCATGTTTTACAGGTTCTTATTCTTCTTTTAAATGGTGTGAATAGTTTAATTTTTACTTTTCTCTCCTCTTCCTATGGATCATTATTAGGTTTTTCTATCAACACATCATTAAAAAATATTAACAATAATAATGAAATGTAAAGAAAATTGATTGCTCTTAAAAGCTTTTTTTTTAATTATAAATGTCTTTATTGTTTCTGAAGGGAAATCATTTAATGTAGTCGTTTAACGTTCTTTATTTTTTGCTTTTGGTAAAATGATAACAGCTTACTAATGAATCTTATAGGTTTTCTTTTTAAATTACTTTATTCATTCAATTGTCAACTTTTATTGGTGGAAGGTAAATCTAAGTTTTCCTGTTACTGAAAAATAATGTTTTCAGTGAATAGGAAAATAAATTTTTTCCCTCTTATATTAACAAGAAATTAGAGATATTTTAAGAATTTTATTGAAATCATACATAAATGACAAGTAGTTTGTTTAACGAGTCAACTTCCTTATCTGCGAAAGTTATATGTAATTAATATATTTTCAGATGAACTGTACTAATACTAAGTAATAACTATAATAAGTACTGACTTACGCCTGCGACCCCTCGTCGAGGAGCATAGGCCGTCCACCAGTATTCTCCATCCAACCCTATCCTAAGCAGTCCTTTACATGCCTTTACCGTTTCTATTAATCTTTTCATGTGTGTTTCCTATTTTCAAAGCAGTGTGTTCTTTAGCCTTCCTCTTTCTCTTTTCCTTTCAAGATTTTTAGTTAGCGCTTACCTTGTGATGCAGTTCGATGATTTACATAATGTGTCCTATTCACTTGCAACATCTTTTCCAAATTTCTCTTCATTTGAAAGCTAGCTTGTTCTGTCTTACGGTAGATTGTTCCTGATAGTGTCCGATCAACGATGAACATTGAGTATCTTGGGTAAATACTTGTACCTAGTTGATTATGGTTGTGGTAGTTTTCCAAGTTTCAGCTCCATACATTTGAAATGTCTTGACATTCGTTTTAAATATTGTGATTTTGATATTGATTGACAGTTGTTTTGAGTTCCGTATGTTCTTCAACTATAGAACTGTAATAAATGAAATTCTTAAATTTCTTTTTCTATTTTGCATTTAATAAAAAGAGTTCATTTATTATTATAATTATGTTAAGAGATAATTTGAATATACAATAAATTACAATCATTTCTTTTAAATTTAATTTTACTTAGAAACTGCTCATTACTTAAAACGTCAATTCACAGTACGATTCCGGTGTCTTTTAGATAATACATCTGGATTTATTGTAAGTTATTTTTGTTTAATCCCAAAACATTGATAAAAATTGAATTTTATCCTCACAATTATACACCATTGTGATGAATTTATTTCAACAGATTGAATGAACTAACTTTCCAATGTATATATGTTAAGATGATTACTTTCTCATTTAATGTATACATGTAGTCTTATATTGTTAAATGTTAGATCAGTTTAATACAGAGATTTAAAAATGTTTAATAATGATATATATCAGAAAGAGTTTTGTGGAGATTGTAGTTATTTCAATAGTTGAGATCATGGGTCAACTGAAGCTAGACCATCATGGAAAACCTGGAAGCATTGGACGATCGTTTCGTCCCAGTATGAGAATCCTCAGCTATGCACATCCACGATCCCGATAAGTCCTGGGTCCGAATCTCGCGAGGCGGGATCGTGGATGAACGGTGTTGAGGAGTCGCATATTAGGACGAAACGGCCGTCCAATGCTTCCAGGTTTTCCATGGTGGTCTGGCTCCAATCGAATCATGAACTTAACTATTAAAATTACTACAACATCAACAAAAACCCCTTCTGATTCAATTCATATTTTGATTAGAACAATATAAGTTGATAATCTTTTTAAAACATAATTACCACTTTTAATTATTTATCAGTATTAACAAACCAATGAATTAAAATTATACCAATAAGTGAAATATACAGTTCTACTATGAAAGTTCAATAAAATGTTCGATTAAAGAATAAACTAACAATGAAATCTTCCAACTGACCTACTTATTCATCAAATGTGAACGAATTGTTGAATACTCAATTGTAACTTCTATGTCACCAGTTATTGTTTAATATATACGTCGGCTCACTTTGAATTTACTAGGTAATTCTGGGGAATTCTCAAGAATATATGCTACTGTGAATTTTTAAACTATATAAGTATTATAATACAGATACTGATTTAATCTTTCGTTTCATGGAGTAAAAATTGATTGTCATTAACATTTGGTTTGTTGGCAGTTATTCTAGAAGTAAATATAAGTTACGTAACACATCTAAAGTACTTTTATAAGCAAAATTACTCAGAAAATGCATGTCTAATTTACTTTTTGCCTAAAATCTACACCGAGAAATGAATTTTATTCTTTGAACTATTCACATAAAATTATAGTAAACTTTTGTAATAATAAAACAAATAATTTGTTTTAGACACTTGAACTTAGCGGTCGGTTGCAATTTCTACATGGACAAGCTAGAAGTATGCAATTATCTGTTAATTCTGAACAAGCGAATTCATGCAACAATACAAATATATCTAACAAGTATAATACTTCTTGTACATATAATGTATCAACTTCTAATCAACATAATTTACCGCCTCTTGGTTTTTTTGCGGTCTGTAGTCCACTAGGACCATTACCAAGTTTAAATGGTCCACAACGTGATGCAACGTTTAAAACAAAACATCAATTAGATTTGACTATTATAACAATAGACGCTCGGTGAGTTTTCATTTAGTTGTAAATTGTGTTTGACAAAACGTATGTATTCTTGGAATACAGGAATTAATCGGTTTAAAATAAAACTTTATTATAGTTGTTTATTTTATAGTTCTTTAAACTCTACTCCAAGTCTTCCTATGAAATACAGATATTTTTTAGAGATATTTCAGACACATGGTAGACTGAAAGACTATCCAACTGACTAATAAATTTATTAAAAAGTTAACATATTGTTCAAAGTTTTAGTTTATTTTCATGGCTTAACTCGAGAGTGATTCAGTTGTTTTGTAAGTATAAGTCATCTAAGCTGATTCGCAACTAATGTAATTGAAATCATATCTACTTAGAACAAACCAACTATCTAAGGATTCAGAAACATCAGCACACTTTTGATCGATTAGAGTTAGACGTTAACACCATTGGATGCTGGCTCAGTGGTCTAGAGGTTAAGTATTGACGCCCGAAACCGAAGTTCCTGGGTTCGAGTTTCACGACCAGGATCGTGGATATGCACTGCTGGGGAGTCTTATACTGGGACGAAACTGCCGTCCAGTGCTTCCAACTTTTCAATAGTGGTCTGGCTTAGATTGACTCATGAATTCAACTATTAAAACTTGATATAATAGACAAGAGAAATATCAATTCTTAAAATGATTTACTAAATGCCTTACCGATGAGTAATAATCGATTAGAAAACTTGGACTTAGGATTTCCTGTTACTTACGCATAATCATCCTACAAAAATGGATTTAAAAGATTACTCGAAAATGGTTTTTATAATTTGTTTCAAATTATTTTATACTGAATAAGCAAGAGAATAAGGATTTATATGATATTGATACTAATTTATGAAATCTACAGTAAATATATTGTAAAGATTCAAGCTACCTTGAAAATAGAAAGCTTATTATAAATATCTTTTTCAATGTTCACCAGAGAAAGTATATTTAGTTTCATTTTAATCTCCATACTGTTTATGATTGAATCAGTTGTATCTTATGAATTATTTCTGATGCGATTATTCCTAAAATATTTCCCATAATATCTTCAGCATGCCTTGTAGTGGCCTTGCTTCGTTAATCAATCACCTCGATAACCGTTGTCATATAAATTTCAACGGTGTTTGAAATCAGAAATCAATGAGAAGCGGCAACTACAGTTTATTAACCGATAGCACAGGTCACAAGTCTATAAGCACATAGAGCGAATTTGAAGCAGAGATGCGAATAAGTATATAACAGTAATTACATAGGCAAATTTATAATTGAATCGCATAAGAGCGGAGCAAGTCAAAGCAAAGGATGATAATAGGATTTGAGTACGTACATACATAGTGAGGAGGATGAGTCGTCGAGTGACATTTAAGCGATTGACACTTTAGCAAGTGTCTGTGATCTAGTGATCATAACGGTACAAAGAAATACGCGAATTGTTACTGTTCGAATAACAATGTCTGTTATGTAAGTTGATAAAAGGCTTAACCTAGATTAACCATAATCGAAATTGGTTGTAGAATAGTTGATATAACCTTAAATACTGGTTGCTGATTGCTATTTTCATATACATTTTTTATAGTGCTCGACTTATATTCAATTACTCTGACAGCGACTTACAAAATTTCAAAGTTTATGACTTAATACACCCAGACGATTTACGTTATGTTGCTAGAGGACATAAGAACGTAAGTTAACAAGTGTTTTATATTTCTTTTCAAATATTACGTTTTCCTTTTTATACAACGCGTATTCATGAAATATTTCATTTTATCTAATTAAGTATAATTCAGATCTACAAAAGAATTTCAGCTTTTGACCTCACGTCACTCAGTATTACAATGAATGACTTTTCCACTTAGGTATTTAGATCGCGACTATTCTCATGTAGGACTGAGATAATTATACTGGTTGATCACAGAACACTACTCGATTTCATGTTTGTCTAGTCCTTACTGCTGACGAAGTTTGGCAGGAAGTCAACAGAGTTTCTAATAGTTCAGGGGTAAAATTTCCAAATGTGGTACTGGGTGGTTTGGGAGCCCACAGAAATTGCAGACGTTCCTTATTGAGAGGTACCAACTATCACACAACCAAGGTTGAGGCCTCTCTTCTTAATGTCGATATTTCTCTTAAATTATATACATTAATGAAAGAACAATGTTATGGTTCGAAATATGCACTTATAATGAAATATGCAGTAGATTGTTATAACATAGAATTGGTTTAACTAGTTTTCGAAGTTTAAGTACCAAGATAATACAAATAAATTTTTATTTTGATAGTTTTTAAAGTAGGTTCACTTGGCTTACTTGTACACCGATGGTTGAATAAACAATCTCAGTGGATTTGGCTACAGTCAAGAATAAAAATTATTATGAAAAACGGTAAACAAGATCATATTATTGTGATACACCGACAATTATCGTAAGTTTTAACTTTAATATATTAGGCTTTACTTCAGAATTCTCATGATCAGATCAATGTAAATTACTTTTATTGAGTTTAAAATTGATAAATTTGTATTTATTGAGATGGGTTGCTATATTCACATTATTTTCACTGTGTTAACATTCAGTGAAAAACCAAAAAGTTCGGCCCCTTTGTTGTTTAGTTTTACCTGTTAGTAGTTTTCGGTATTCTGATTTACATGGTTTAATCACTGAGATTTCATTTGGATCAAAATATTCGGTACACACTTCATATAGAAGTGAGCTTTCTAGTTATTCCCAAAGTGTAATATCAATTCATTTTGATAACCTTGTTTGTGATTGGTTGTTTTCGTAGGTTTCATTGTTTTCATTTGTCTTTGTATTCACTTTGACAGTTGTAGTTGGTTGACCTGTGGTCTTGTGAGTGATTGAACTCTTCCATATTGGTTCATAGATCGGTTCAGTGTCAGTGTATCTGTTGATTGATAGTTGATCTGAATACCATGCTTCTAGAGATTTCCTGACATTCTTTAAGTTTCCTTGATAAAAAATTTTAAGGTTTTTCCGATTGAATTCGTGTTCATGATTTTTTTCATGCATTGATATTAGTGATAACATATCATGTCGTCTTACTGTTAATCAAAGGGTGAAGAGTCATCTGAATCCACTTATAACCGTTTTCTGACAGTTTAGCTACTACAACTATTTTCAATTAATCGAATATAATGTTCGTGAATTTCAACATATTTGTCATTCACCTTTTTCAAAAGGATAGATAAAACGAAAAATAAACCAAGAACTGCAATGTTTCTGTTTCAATTTTCCAATATATAACATTTCAACAACTGAAAACTTTTTCTCATAATAGCTCCTGAGTATATATAATTAGCATTCACAATTATTCAGTTCAAATATGTATGAAACAAGTAAATTGATTGCAATATTTACACAGTTGAAAATTAAGTTGTTCACTATTGAATCAGAAAGCATCAACATAAATTCGTACAGTTAGAAACATTGGTTAGTCAGTTAGTTAAATGAAAACCCACTTAATTCCTTTACGATTGTTCTGTACTTAAATAACTTTAGTTAATAAATGATATCACAAAATCATTTTCTTGATCAATGGTCAACTATGAAACGTTTTAATTAACGTATACAGAGTATTGATAACAACAATGGATATGATAAAGTGATTTACGATCAAACGATGCTGTAATTTATGAATAATTATAATAGCAACAGTACTAGAAATATTAGTTTTCACCAAGATGAAGTTATATAAGCATAGGATATAGGCACTGAGTTTGAATCGGAAGATATTTTTGTTTATTCGACCCTGTAACAATAATTTTTTGAGAAAAATGAGTCAGTAAACATGGATTATTGTCCTGGAGCCTAATCATTTAAATGATCTTGATGACTATGCTGTTATCATTGTTATTTTTGGAAATTATAATTCATAAGTTTTATATATTGAATCGAGTATCTTATCATATTCTGTAATTCACTACAAAAATCTACTCTTAGGATTCATCGGATGATCCCTGCTGAACACCAGATTAATGGAGGAATTGAATATAAATATTTTTCCGTTACTGTTTGAAATCGTAGTCGATTTAGCTTAATACTCATTTATATTAGTAGAGACAATAAGCTATGAACTGATAAAACTAAAAAAATATTACCTAAATACAGATAATTTATTTATTCATTTGTTTGGAACATTTTAGCAATGAAGAAGGGATGGAATTATTGATAAGAAGAACAGATGAATACAAACTACCTTTTCCATTACTTGAACCAGAAACTTTACTTAATGGTGAAGAACTGACAACATGTAATAACAACTTACATATGGATATTAATTCACCTTTTCCAACCGGTCAAATGAAAATTTTTGATCATCATCATATCCTTGGAAGTAATGATCAAAAATTATATGGAACAAATGTTAAATCTGATAATAAAATTAATTTGAGCTCAAAGCATACACCAGAACATTTCTCTAGTCTTGATATATCCGGTAGAGTTTACAGTAGACACTCTACTGATACAATCAACAGTTGTATGCAAATGGAAAGAGGTATTACTAGATCGGCGACGAATAACTATGGCGACGATTTCCATTTATCTGGACTTGACAATAATCTACTTGAACATTGTCTTAATAAATCCACTAAACAATCTAAGGTTATTTCAGCTACTGTTCTACGTAGAAAAAGGACAATGAAAGAAATAACTAAATCTGAAGTTAATAAATGTAAACTTAATCATCGTGGTTCGTGTACTACAGCATGCACATATGTGTCAAATGCTCAAACTCCTGGTCAATTAAATTATGGTACAAACATTTGTCAATCTACTTATCTTCCACTGGGATTTAATCAAACATTATCAAGAGATAGTGAGGCATTTTATCGAAATCCTTATTTATGTTGGCCAACAAACACCAATAGTATGGCAACATCAGAAAATATCAATTCAAATAGATTAAACAACTCAGAACATATTCCTCAATTAAATTCAAGTAAAGTTGGTTTATTCATGATAAATTCACATTATTCAAGTCAAGATTTAAATGAATTTAATATGCAAGATTATTGTACAACAAGAAATTATCCAACAGCGTATGATGCATATTCAGCAGCTGTTGCTGCAGCCGCTGTTGTAGCAGCTGCAACAAACAGTTGTAATCAGAAACATCAAGTCAAAATCATCATAATGTATCACTTCATCAACAATATCAATCACAACAAACATTAGATCAAGAAATAAAACATCCTCGACAACATGGATTAAATTCATCACACTTTTTACCAAACACTAATGAATCAAATACTCTTCGTTTTCAACAGACATTAAATGATCCTAATATATTTGATTTGCAAAGAAGACAACAACAGATAGAATATAGTTCATCATTAATTAAACAACAAGCCATAATATCTTCTAGTATCCAACCTCCGTTAAATAATTGTACTAGTTATATTTTATCAAATAATTACTTTCCACAAGAACAGTTGATCAATAAACAAAGTTTAAGTAAGGCTTGCATACAATCTAATAATTCATATACAAAAGAATTTCTAAAGCCTAGACATTCAGATTCGTTGAACAGTCTTCATCAGTCACAAATTGAAATCGATGTAAATAATAATAATTCCAACACAAGTGACAATAACAACAGTTGTAATAAATTAGGACAATCAGTTTCATCTTACACATCTATGAATGTAAACCAGTTATTCCCAGAAGATGATTACAGAAATGAGTCAACATACGAGCAAAAAGATACTTCAGCAAATATGTATTTACAACATAATGTTGAACAGGGAATAATATATGCTAATCCAATTATTGACAAGGGGTCTTCATCAACATATTCATCTTATTCATCTCCGCCTAACCTAATAAGCCCACATAACACTGAAATTGGCCTAGAACCAGATTCTGGAATCAGTCAGCATCAACAGAGACAAATACAAACTTCAACAATAGTAAGAATTAATAGTCAGTTCATTGACCCGAATAAAAATTCATCAAGTTCTTCAAAATGTTCTCAGTTTTATGATTCCAACTGCTCTATAAATAACTGGACTGTAAATTCTACTCACACCAATTATAATCAGTAACAGAATATCTTTCTAATGAATGCTTGTCAGATGTAGACTGTGGAACTATTATTGTAACCCAGAGTTTTATCCCTTGCGCTATCTATGGATTCATCAAATTCCAGTGAATCTCCTACACCACATGATACATGTATAGGTCAACAAGATAATAAGTTGCTTAAAACAGGAGCCGAAAATGATATTTTTCCTCACAAAACTAACAAATCTGAATCACAGTCTTGCAGACTGCGAACAAATGATAATTCCAAGGTTGAAATGCCATTATTTTCTGAAATAGATTTTGGTGATCAGAAGCAGGATTTATCAAATTCTCATATACTTGGTGTTAAACGCTCTAAATATGACTCCACAACAAGATGGGATGACCATCAGTAAGTTTTCGACAGTATTTTAAACTAAGTGTTTTCAAAACATAAATGAATCATAGTAACCTTGTCTTAACTTGTTGATAAAATGAAAATCATATCAGATTACGTCAAACAACTTTATCAATAGTTTCCAGTGAATTAAATCAACCACTGTCTAACTTGATGTTTTTTACTGGCTAGTAATCAACTGGATTGAAAAAAGACAGGAGTAACCCGAATAAGATATAGTATCAGTTCATGAAATCATTGAGTATTGTTCTTAACTATATTTAAAAGTAGATACTTCCAAGTTCGAACTCACGAAATAGTTGGAAACCTTAAATGTAATTACCCAAAATGATTCATAGATGTGCAGATATTTTTATGCTTTATCTTTGTATATCTTAGGTTTTGATATGTCTTCATAATAAATATTCTTCTATTTAAATCCTTTTAAAAAAGTATATTTTCACTATCGTGGATATCATTAATTATCTACCTCAGTTTTCATCTCCTTAAGTTCCTAGTTTAGTGAGTGTGAATGAGATGCATTACAATTTGTTGTGATAAACATTTATAGTAATTTTTAGTTTACTTGTAACTTAAAGTTTCGTCATAATAACAACATCATATAATTATAAATGCCTTTTCTAAAGTCTGCATGTGTGCTATAAGAATGACCAGTTCATTAGTAAGATAATGATGTCTTTTCACATAATATAATACTCAGATATTTATTATTTTAATTTTAGCTATGATAACTCAAAGCCAACTGCCATCCCTGTACCTGTTGTATGCAGCGGTTCTTTGAACATTGTTTCTGAAGAATCATCACAGACAGTAAGTACATATAATTTATACTAAGCTATTTCCTAGTGGTATTAGTGAATGTAATTAACACATTTCGACAATGATGCAGTTCACATTCATTTAAATTTGGATCATAGATAAAACGTTATTTCAATATACCGATTTCGTTTACAATGGATGTGAAAAATATAATCCCCATATTAGAGAACAATTTTCGTTCTCAAATAAAATTCGGAGATATCATACAATATCTGTGATGTAGAGAGATATGAACGAAATATCGCATTGCAATAACGGGACGAACTGTAGCTTTGATAAACATCTATATTCCTGTGTGAGAACTGGATTGTCCAGCCCATATTCATATATTTGTGATTAGTACTACATATTATCATGGTTGACATAATAGACTGATATTAATCAGACAACTATTGAAAATTAAGAAACATTGAACAGCTACTTCCTTCTAGGATGAGACTCCTCAAAAGTAGGCATCCACAGCCTTACCCGAGATCGAACCCAGAGCCTTCGGACTCATATGATCATATGTTTATTTCCAAATAGAAAAGTCATCCTGATTAAAATGATTTCTAAAGTTTGTAAAGAAAAAACCTTGAAAATATCCTTATTTGTTCATCATATGAAGTGATGCTTAACTTTATTAATTTAGAAAAACCGATAAATAGTTTTTATGGCTTATGCATAAAACAGTCTTAATATTTAATCAGAATAATATTCGTTACAATTAGGTTACACCATATCAACTGAGCATTTAAGATCCCTCTCAGATTTTCTTCTTTTTATATACCTGTATGGCGAAAATTTAATTTAGTGTGAACAGTGAAGATGATGTAACAGACGTTCATGGTTTAAATAAACGTTAAGTATTTTTTTTACTAAGTAGTATGATGAAGTCACACTGATAATTATAGCATTATCTTTGTTTATTGGTGTATGTCTGTTTCCTTACTTCAGTAACTGACAAGTGCTTTAAATTCTGTTTCTTCTTTCTTCATAGTCTACCTAAAATCCATTTACTTTGTATAAAAAATTGTTTTCTCTTTCTTGTTTCCCACTCATCATTAGACAACATCAGGATCATATTCTTTTAAGTTGTTTTTGATTTTCTAAGAAAACTTAACCTTGAATTTCACTTTCGTTTGCTCATTAAAACGAGTGAAAAGAAGAGCACGAAAAAAACTAACTTCTTTTTTAGCCACCTGCCTATATTTAAAACACTGAAGATTTTTAAAGAAAATAAGTCTGCCTACGAAAAACGAATGAAAGAAAAGGGGGGGGTATAAAAAACCTTATGAAATGATTGACTTCAGTTAAAAAGGAAGGAAATCTGATGAAATTCACATCCGTTTATGCTTATCATCATTATAAAATCTTTATCGGATTGTTAAATAAGGTCATCATCTATCTTGTACACATCATTTGACATAGGGTCTAGAAACGCTTCGAATATTTCTTGAAAGCATTGAATAATTTATTCCATTAGTAATAAAAATTTAAAAAAGTTGATAGCAAACAGTGAATAATTCATAATGTCTTATACAAAAAAATTGGTTGGAAAAAGAGAAAACTGGCATTCTGTTTATCCTCATAACATTGAAAATAGATAAATTTTGTTAAAAATGAGAATAATAAAAAAATTTACAATCCAATTTATTTATTACGTGAATTACTTACTTATGCCTGTTACTCCTCGTGAAGGAGCATAGGCCGCCACCAGCAATCTTTATCGAACTCTATCCTGGGCAATCATTTCTAGTTGTTATTCATCCTTTTATTGTATTATATATCTTACTGAGAAAAAAAACTATATAACAAAATAGTCAAGTAAAAGAAGGGGCATGTACCATTCATACTTATAATTAAGATCTCATCTTTTAAATATGCACTATATGGTTTTTTTTATACACAATCAAATAATTACTATGGCTAGTAAAATGTGATTTCAATCGAAAAAAATCGATCCCAACATTTTTTGTTTATATTATTATTGAATATTTTAAAATTTCTATTGTAATGAACATTGATTATATATAAATTAGAACAAAAACTCATCGGTTATAGGATTACGTAATAGGTTATTCTTATTATTTAACTGTTCATTGAATACATAAATATATAAATTTTTCACAGATTAAAATCATGAGTCATTTGAAGCTAGACCACCATGGAAAACCTAGAAGCACTAGACAACCGTTTCGTCGTAGTATGGGAATTTTCAGCAGTGCGCATCCACGATCCCGCACACCGCGAGATCCGAACCCAGGACATATCAGTTCCGCGCCAAGCGCTTAACCAACTACACCACTGGGCCGGCATCCAATGGTGTTGATGTCTAACTTCAACCAATCCACGAAGTTGCGCCACCGTATACCATTGTCTTCAGTGAGTTGATATCTCACAAGAGACCTGGTTGAACTCAACTGATAACTCACTAGAACTCCAGGAGTCCCATACTAGGACGAAACGGTCTTCCAGTGCTTCCAGGTTTTCCATATTGGTCTAACTTCAATTGACTCATGATTTCAATCTGTGAAATTTCTAAAATCTCCCTAAACCCCTTCTGATATAAATTTAAAAAAAAACACAACTTATTTCACTACTTAATTACTTATTTGTTTTTTCTTTAATAGAGCTCAATAAATACATCTGGAATCCATACAACATTATCAGATTATAGAGAAGAACTTTTGAGTGCAATTTAATTTTCATAAATTGAATGTATCATTTATTTATAACAAGAATAAATAACAATTATTAAAATATAATACTCTGATTATTACACATACATATATGATTCAAGAAATAAATAAAAATAATAATTTTCCCATTTTACATAACATCTAACTTCATATTTTCAATTTATAAATAATTTCTAATTTCATCAATATTCCTTTTTTTTGTTTGTTTGTTGCTAACTCATTTTACTTATTTCGTTTATTGATTTAAACATTAATTATTTGTTTTTTTTTGTTTAAATTCTATAAATTAAAAATGAACAAGATTACATCTTTTTGAGTATAATTTTTTTGAATGGAAACAAGAATTTTTTTCTCTCTTTCTATTTGTTTTATTATCAATAATAAATGAAAGATAGATCCTTATATAGATCCTTATAGATTATTTGTTTGTTGAAACAAAACAAAAAAATATAATTGTATAAATATTCAATCAATCAATAATAAACACAATATTATTGATTTTTGTAAATTAATCAAATAACTCGTTGTTGTTTTAAAAGAAAGTTATTTCCTTTAATTCTGTTTAACGTTTTCAATGATTGATTTTCTCTTCCTTTTTCTCGTGTTGTTGTTGGTGTTGTTGTTTATCTTCATGAATAGCTATTAAATGTTATTATCTCTCTCGTAATGTACTGAATATTAAACAATGATATTTTTAATATTATTTACTATTGTTTATTAATTTTACGAATGATAAATATATATGATCTATACTGGATGATCATTGAGTAGTAATCAATATCATGTTTGTGTAGCGTTGCTAGTGCTCGAAAAATTCTGTCTTACAGGTTGCGTTGTTGCTAATAACATTGTTAATTAGTAATCACTAACAAATGATATATACAGTAGTAGAGTACTAATGCTTCCTTTTAGGTTTGGTTCTAACCATTCATTATGAAAGTTCTAAATTCTATAACGGAACTATACAGAGCCTGACTAACGTAATGATCTAAAATATTTACATCGTCTGATCATGTTTGTCTAGCCATTAGTGTTGACCAAATTCTACCTATCAATTTCCAATGTAACTATAAGTTTTTAAAAGATTTAGCTTAGGCAATCAAAAAAATATTTTAAATAAAACAAATGCTAACACTATCAAATTGACAAGTATATATACGGCAGAATTATTACAACATATCTTAAAAGTGAGTTCTTATTCATTTCATTTTAAACAACAGTTTTAGAGGTTGCATCGATTGAAGAAAATCATAGAACATTGTTTAAGTACATAATTTTTGGTCAGTTTCAGAAGGCGTCAGTAATGTTATTAAAAACTGATTTCTTAAGATCACAGAATGTAATCAATGTATATGAAAACATCAAATGAATCCAAATATATCAAAGAAAAGTGTGCTTGATAATTTTCTGTCATTTCTTTATGGTTTTCACGAAATTCAAACTAAGAGTAAAATTGATACTGAAACATAAATAGTTTGAAGAATCGAAAACTTATGTCAGAGAGTAATTATTGTTTCTGAAAAAAATGTATTTTGATACAAAACAACATCCAGTTCATAACACTCACAGATCATATAAATAGTTTTTGTTTATTGAGGGAAAAATAAACTTCCGAGTTTTTAGTGATGGTTTAGCTTTGATCGACTCGTGATTTCAACAGTGAAAACAATACAATCTCCATGAATCTCCATACTATATATGGTTATACATATTTCATAGTCATCCCTAATATAAATAGATCCTATGAAATGATTACCTAAGTAACTGTTCATATCAAAACATTTTATAGTGTAAAAACAACATGAAAGGAAATTAGTATCTTTCACCATTAACTGGTCAATGTTTAAGACAACGGTTACAGAATTTTGATCACCCATTTTAAGGCTGGTAAATCAGAATCGATGAAGTACCTGGGATAAATCTATATAAATTGAATTAAAATACCATTAGAGAAATATTAAAACTGGTGATTGAACATTTATTGTGTAAAGTGATTCTAAAATGATAAGTTAATAATGAAGACGAACTCTTTTTAACTGCTCAGTTATACTTACAGAGGGGGGGATATTTAAATGCAGTGGTCATAATCTATTAAGTTCAACACATTTACAGTTAATTTAATTGTTGAAGTTTTAATGAAAATGTCACATTTATGTAGAGCCTAGTGATAAGTGACACGATAATTCACCGATAGCATAAGCCATTGGATTTTAATAAGGTGCTTTCAAGACTGTTCAGACTTCAAGGTTCTTGATTTTACTTCATGTACAAACTTGGCTGCTTTAAACACAAGTGAATAGCTACCAAGTTGCTTTACAGCAAATGAAGATTGTCCTACATAACATTATTAAAATAAATAAAACCATATTATTTCTTATGTGTAGGTGAAAAGAAGTAATAAATTTAGATATACTATTTCTATTACATAATAATTCACGAGTATACAAATTTCCAAAAAAGTGTCTTCCACTATTTCACAATTGACTCAAATGTACATGAGATGCTCATAAATAATTATTTAATTATAACTTTATCAATATTTACATCATATTCTTTTATAGTACGCCACAAAATCACAAGTAATGTCGATTTCTGAAGGGGTTTGGTGGAGATTTTTAGAAATGTCAATAGTTGAAATCATGAGTCAATTGAAGCTAGACCACCATGGAAAACCTAGAAGCACTGGACGACCGTTTCGTCCTAGTATGGGACTTTTCAGCAGTGCGTATTCACGATCACACCTCCCGCAACGTTCGAACCCAGGACCTGTTGGTTTCGCGCGCGAGCACTTAATTATTAGACCACTGGGCCAGCATCCAACGGTGTTATTATCTAAACAGGCCTGTTGTGAGATATCAACTCACTGATTACAATGGTATACGGTGGCGCAACTTCGTGGATTGGTTTAAGTTAGACATTAACACCATTGGATGCCGTCTCAGTGGTGTAGTTGGTTAGGCGCTTGGCGTGAGACTGATAGGTCCTGGGTCGACTGTCGTGGAGTGCGGGATCGTGAGTGCGCACTGCTGAGGAGTCCCGCAATAGGGAGGAACGCCCACCCAGTGCTTCTAGGTTTTCCCTGGTGGTCTAGCTTCAATTGACTCATGATTTCAATTATTGAAATGTCAATTTCTTTTTGTTTAATATAAAACAAAAGTTAACTGAATTATCTAAATCATTATAATTGAATGGAATAAATAAATAAAGGCATTTAGGAATAGGGCCTATTCATTTAATCAATTTACATGAACTCATTTTTTTGTCTTTTTTTTTATATTAAAACATTCCCTAAAAAAAACCTAATTTTTATCTCTTAACTGTTTAACTGAATTATCACTTAGATTAATTTTGTTTATTTGTTTTTTTTTTTAATCTTTTCAAATTATCTCAAGGAAAGTCAATTAAAGCGGATAAAAAAGTAAAATAAAAGTGAAACAATAAAACAAAACAAACAAACAAGCACAGATGAAACTCAAGGTTATTTTAAATAAAAAATTTTTTTAAAGAATGATAAGTTTATGAATACACTTGCTCGTTTTGTTTATAATTTATATTTATACATACAAACATAATTGTATAACACATATAGATACATACACACAGATACATAGACATACATATATAGATATATATACGTTGACTTACACAATACACCATATGGTTCATATATGTATAACGAAAAATAACTAAATAAAACCAGGGTTCAAACGTCTTTTTTTCCTTCTCAACATACTCAGAAAGTTTAACACCTAGTTGTTTATTTATTTATTTTTTTCTAATGACAAAAGTGGCTGTGACTTATTTTGTTGTTGATAATTTAAGTGAAAAAAAGAAATTCATTCTTTAAGATTTGTGTTTGATAACCAGCTTTAACTAAAATATTCGTATGTCCATATATATATATATGTGTGTGTATATATTTGTTGTTGTTGTTGTTGTTTTTATAATATTTTATTTTACACATTCATTAATTTATCTTTCATCATTTCATTTCTTCTGGTGTTCATTCGTTTTTTCTTTTCTTCTTCTCTCTTTATTATATTTAATAAAGGGAGGTGAATTTATTATGGTGAAGGGAAATCAATTTGATGAAATATATCAGGAATTAGTTCTTTGTATAAAAAACAGACAAACTTTACATGTGAAGTTAGTTTTTAGATCATTTGCTTACGATTACCCTAAGATATATATATATATATATATATATATATATATATATATATTCGGGTGAAATATATCAACGCCTAAAATTTTGACTTAAAGCATGTAAGAAAGATGGTTGAAAAATTAATTTACATTTGAAATGTTTAACTGTAAAATCATGTTTACCTATAAATTAGATTACCTAGTTCAATTCAATCGACGTTAAGTTCATTTCCTTTGTTTAGTAACGAAGGAATTTACGCATATTTATATGATCATGCCGATAATTACAACTAACAATATTTAGTACATTTTCATATTTTTAATGAAATTAATTTACCGACAGTTTTTATTAGCACGGTCCATAAGCTAAAAATGAACAGAATGGGTTTATGGAAATTAATGGATTTCATTAAAGTCATGAACCGATCTAAGCTAGATCATAAATGAAAACATATAAGCACTGGATTAGTTTTGAAAGAAAATTTCCGGAATTCTAGTGAGAAGCTGTGACGAGTGGAGTTAATCTCTGTCCGGTATGAGGCAGTTACTCGCTGGAGAAAATGAAAGGAGGCTGAGCAATACCATGGAAGGTTTAAGGTTAGATATTAACAGCGTAGGATACCGGATCACTGGTCTAGACGTTAAGCGTTTGAGCTCAAAACCGAAGGCCCTAAGTTCAATTCCCGGTTTCGAGTTCACAGATGTGCACTGCAGAGGTGTCTCATATATTTTTATGTTTAATAAGTTTGAAATCTAGGCACCTACAATTTGGTATTTTATTAGCTGATAATTGTACACTCTCGATTAAATTTGAGAATGATTTTCTGAAATTTCAGTGATTATTAGGGTCAATCCAA